AGATGTATCAGGACTTGAGGCAGCACTATTGGTGGAGAAGAATGAAGAAAGATATTGTCGGATTTGTAGCTCGGTGTCTCAATTGTCAGCAAGTGAAATATGAGCATCAGAGACTGGGTGGCTTGCTTCAGCAGATGGTTATTCCCGAGTGGAAGTGGAAGAGGGTCACTATGGACTTTGTGGTTGGACCACCTCGGACTTTGAAGAAGTTTGATGCTATTTAGGTGATTGTGGATCGGCTGACCAAGTCTGCGCACTTCATTCCTATATGTACTACCTATTCGTTAGAGCGGTTAGCAGAGTTATATATCTGAGATATTATTTGGCTGCATGGTGTTCCAGTTTCTATCATTTCAGATTGGGGTACTCAGTTTACTTCGCAGTTTTGGAGAGCCGTGCAGAGAGAGTTGGGTACTCAGGTGGAGTTGAGCACAACATTTCATCCTCAGACGGACGGAGAGTCCGAGCATATTATTCAGATATTGGAGGACATGTTGTGTGCTTGTGTTATTGACTTTAGAGGTTTATGGGATGAGTTTTTTCCGCTTGCAGAGTTTACCTACAACAACAGCTACCAGTCGAGTATTCAGATGGCTCTGTATGAGGCTTTGTATGGGAGGTGGTGTAGATCTCCAGTTGGTTGGTTTGAGCCCGGCGAGGCTAGGCTATTGGGGACAGATTTGGTTCAGGATGCCTTAGAGAAGGTGAAGGTGATTCAGGAGAGACTTCGTACAACGCAGTCACGACAGAAGAGTTATACGGACCGGAAGGTCCGAGATATGTCCTATAACTTCAGTGAAAGTGCAGTGGAGAGGTCGGACCATGGAGAAGGCTACCTAGGAGACCGAGCGGGAGATGCGGAGCAGATATCCTTACCTGTTTGAGGCTTCAGGTACGTTTCTTGACTCGTTCGAGGACGAACATTTGTTTAAGTTGAGGAGGATGTGATGACCCGGCCAATCGTCTCATGAATTACCGCTCCGCTTTCCCCATTTCTGCTTCTTTATGCTTCGTTATCCGTGTTTTATGTGGTCAAGTTGATTGGTTTGCGTTTGGTGTGGTTTTGGTAAGAAATAAGACACTTAGTCTTTTTTAAGAAGGCTTAAGTTGGAAAAGTCAACCGGATGTTGACTTATGAGTTAGAGGGCTCGGATGTTCTGATGGTTCAGTTAGCTTTTGGAGGTGATTTGTGACTTAGGAGTATGATCGGAAGTGGTTTTGGAGGTTCGGTGTAGAATTAGGCTTGAATTGGCGAAGTTAGTATTTTGGCAATTTCCGGTTGATAGGTGAGGTTTTGATCTGAGGGTCGGAATGGAATTATGAGAGTTACTGTAGCTTCGTTATGTCATTTGTGATGTGTGTGCAAAATTTCAGGTCATTCGGACGTGGTTTGGTTGGGTTTTTGATCGAAAGCGTACTTCGGAAGTTTTTAGAAAACTTAGGCTTGAATTCAATGCGAATTGATGGATTTGATGTTGTTTGAAGTGTTTTTATGATTGGAACAAGTTTGAATAAGGTATTGGATCATTTTAGTGCCTTTGGTTAAGGTCCTGGGGGCCTCGGGGTGATTTCGGATAGCTGACGGGAAAGTTTTGGAACCTGGGTGATAGCAAATTTTCTGCTGCTTCTGGTATTTTTGCACCTGCAGTTTGGGGACCGTAGGTGCGGTATCGCAGATGCGTGATTTGGGTCGCAGAAGCGGAAAGGCTGGGGAATGCCTGGAACCCTAGATGCGGAAGGGGAACCGCACCTGCGGAGCCGCAGAAGTGGCGAGAGGACCGCAAATGCGGTGATGGCCCTGTAAGTGAAATTTCGCAGATACGGAAAAATGACCGCAGAAGCGGCTATTGGATCGCATATGCGGTTATGTCTGGGCAGTGAGCTTATTAAACATTTCATCCGCGATTTTGAGTCATTTTTCCACCATAGCTAAGCATTTTAAGAGCTCTCTGAGGGAAATTGAAGAAGGATTCAAGGAGAAGTGATTGGAGGTAAGATTTATGAGCATAAAACATGATTCTACTGTGAAATTAACCTAGAAATTCATGGAAATTTAGCTAAAAATAGAAGAACTAGGGCTTGGGATTTTGAGATTTTAAATTGGGATTTGAAGGGCCATTTAAGGTTGGATTTGAGAACTCTTGACATTTATGGACTCGTGGAAGGATAAGGAACCCGTTGATGTGAAAATTTCTGAGTTTCGAGAAGTGGGCCTGGGGCTCGAGTTTTGCTAATTTCAGGGTTTTTGATATTTTTCGATTGTTTTCGCTTGGGTTATGTTACCTTAGCATATTGTGACGTATTCGTTCAGGTTTGGGTCAGATTTGACGCGCGAGGAGACCGATTTGAGAGGCAAAGGCGTAGCGAGCTAGAGGTTTTGCCGGTTCGAGGTGAGTAATGAATGTAAATGTTGTCATGAGGGTTTGAAACCCCGAATTTGCACATCGTAGTGCTATATTGAGGTGAGACACGCGCTTGATGATGAGCGTGAGGTCGTTTACTATTGGGGATTGTGACTTGGTCCGTCCCGGGTGATGCTTTTACCGTATATTCGATTAAAGATTCTTTGTTATCATCATTATTTGGACTGATTGCCATATTTGGGATTTGTGCCAACTATTTGAACCCTCCGGGGAGTTTTATCACTATTTTCTCACTGTTTTGATTTACTACTTGAACTCAGTCATACCGTTTTCCACTGTTCTACAACTCAACCACTTTTACTCAGTTTTGAAACTAAAATGATATATTAATTGATGTTTTGGGCTGAGAACTACTGTTTTACTAATGCCCGAGGGGCTTATATGATTTCTGGACTGAGTACGGCCAAGGGCCAGATGTGAGAATACTATGGGATCGGGCTGCACGCCGCAGTAGTGTTATACTGATATTGATATGAGGCCGAGGGCCTAGATTTGATGCCACGAGATGGCTTGATATTGCGCTTGGGCCGTAAGGGGCCCCTCCCGGAGTCTGCACACCCCAGTGAGTGCCATCGACGAAATATATGGATTGGGCTGCACGCTGCAGCGGGTACTATAGGGTGCCGTTCTATGTGTTGATTTTCTTTATATGTCGATCACTTAACTGCTTATTTGTTGTAGCATTACCACATTTCGTTTCCATTGGTTTATTGCTTTCATATTACTTTCTTAAGCTGCCACATTATAGATTACTCTGTGTTTTTCCATGATTTCTTATTCTCAGTCATTATTTATGCTTATTACTCACTGGGTCGGAGTACTCACATTACTCCCTGCATCTTGCGTGCAGATCCAGGTGTTCCAGAGGCTGAGTGAGGATTTTCAGTCGATCAGTTCATATCCGGGAGCATCGTGGTAGCTGCACGGCGTCCGCAGCCCGGATCTCTCCCTTCTATCCTTTTTTTATCCGCATTTCCTAGACTGATTATGTATTAGGCTGTTAAACTTGTACTAGAGGCTCGATACTTGTGACACCATATCTGTATGGGCTATGTAGTGGTATTATCATCTGAATTTTCGCATATTTAACTTGTTGTCTTAAACTCTTATTAGGGTAATTTAGCAATTTAACTGTGTTAGCTGATAATGATTTTTTTAATAAGAAAACGGATTGAGGTTGTTAGTTGGTCAGGCTTGCCTAGCAGTGTATTGGGCGCCATCACGACCAGGGTTGGGGTCGTGACATTTGGTAATATAGTTTCCTATATGGTGTAGGAACGAAAATTTCCCTTTACGTATTGTTTGGATGGTTGTTTTCGGTTGTATTGTATTGTATTGTTACCCCAGATACAATATTTATTTTGATTGTTAATATAAAACTAATTGTATTGTCTTGTTAAATCCATTGTTCCGGAATAATGAAAAACCCCATTTTATGAAACAACCAAATCGGTGTGGTGGGATTGTTCCGTATTTTCCTTCCCAATTATGTCCACACTTATTATTCTATATTTCAATTTTACCCTTTACCCTATTATTTATATTATATTCACCAAACTAATAAGTATTTTGTCTCCATCTTCTTTCTGCCGTGCAACTAGTCAACGATGTACTTCCCTAGTCTTCGTCTCTTTCCAACAAAATTTTTACAGGTTAGTTTTCATCTCTTTTCTTAACTAATTCCACTGTTGCTAAGGGAATTTTCCTCTAAATAATAAGTGCCTAGAAAAAACTGGCTGAAAAAGGTATTATTTATATACACGGCAATAATATTTACAGCATTATCTTTGCTTGTATCCCAAAAATCTGAAATAATTTATGTAGTGACATTTGGTTGAAATTTTGTTTTTCTAAATATCTATTCAATTTCTTCTGCTTAATCAAGATTCGTACCTTATCTTCTCCATAACTTATTAATAACATTTTTTCTCAAACAATACGTTAGTTTTTCATCTCTTTTCTTGTGTATTTTTTCTTGTTAGTTCATCTATGATATTTGCAAACTATATGCTCTGGTGATATAATTTATCAAGTTAATATCATGGTTTAAAGTGTAACACCAAGTTATTAGTTTGATACAATCAAAACTGACAAAAAATATAAAACATGAATTATGTGTGGCTTCTGTTGTAACAAATAAATTTGCTTATATATTTTTCTGTTTATGTAATTAATTTAGTGTAATGTGATGAAATATTTGATTAGAATTCTCTTTTTTTGTACAATCCTATTAGTATGTATATGAATTCTCCTTCATACTTCATAATGTGTTCTATGAAGAAGAGTTTATTTTCGGTTCATATTTATTTTACGTAGTTAATTGGTTGATGTATCTCACTTAATTTTATTATAGATGGCTGATCGGAATAATCAAAATAATAGACAGATAATGGAACAAGTGAGCTCTTTAGCTACATATGCTGCTTGCTTAGTAGCTATTTGGTTTTGGACTTATGTACGTGAAATTGAAAATGACTAATGTACGATCACACATGATATACGACTGGAAAGTGAACAAGTTAGACATGAATTATTGAGTTATTTATTCTCAACTAACTTTGTTGTAATACTATAAGAATGGCCCCTTTAGCTTTTACCGATCTATGTGAGATGTTAGTTAGAGAGGGTGATCTTAGACCAATACTTCAAGCTACAATTGAAGAGCAAGTTGCAACAATACTTTACCTGTTAGCACATAATACGACGAATCGCGGGTTAGCTTGTATCTTTCGACAATTTGGGGAGTCGGTTAGTCGTCATTTTCATATTGTCCTACGAGCGATCTTGGGGTTATATGAAAAATTTATTAAACAACCTGATGGCTCTCAAGTTCCTTCTGAAATTGCCAGCAGCCCAAGATTCTACCCATAGTTTAAGATGAACACAAATACAGTTTTATTGAACTTTTAGCTAAATTCAAGGTTGATTGCATATAATTTATTATAATAATGTTAGGATTGTATTGGTGCGATTGATGGAACACATATACGTGTTAAAGTTTCAGAACGTGAAGCACCCAGATACCGTGGAAAAAAAGATTATCCAACACAAAATGTATTGGTTGCATGCACATTTGATTTAAAATTCACATATGTGTTAGCTGGTTGGGAAGGGACGGCATCTGATTCAAGAATCATGAAAGAAGCGTTAAATAGACAAGACCCGCTAAAACTTCCAGAAGGCAAATATTTCATATATTTATCTAGGGGAAGTTAGATGTGATGAATAAATAATTAAAGCTTTTACTTTTTATCTTTAGGAAAATACTACCTTGTTGAAGGTGGATTGACGTTGAGAAGTGGACTTATTACGCCTTATCGTGGGGAGCGATATCACTTGAAAGAGTATTCAAGAAATCCACCTCGAAATCCTTGTGAATTATTTAATCTGCGACACGCATCTTTGCGTAATGCTATTGAACGAGCTTTTGGAGTTCTTAAAAAGAGATTTCCTATAATTTCTAGTTCAACTGAACCGTCATATGGTGTTGAAACCCAAAAGCTTATTATTTTTGCATGTTGTATTTTGCACAACTACTTAAGAGGTGCAGATCCAAATGATGAGTTACTTGCACAAGTTGATGCAGAGCTTATGAATGATAATGATGTGCATGAAGAACCACCAAATCCTAGGGAAAGTAGTGAGGAGTTTAGAAAGGGGGAGTTGATTAGAGATGGCATAGCAGCTGACATGTGGGCTAATTATCAAGTTTANAATGATGTGCGTGAAGAACCACCAAATCCTAGGGAAAGTAATGAAGAGTTTAGAAGGGGGAGTTGATTAGAGATGGCATAGCAGCTGACATATTGGCTAATTATCAAGTTTAATCTTCTAGGAGAGAAAAAGTCAACGAATGTTTTTGTGTTTATTTACTTGATGTTGTTTGAAAGTAATTTCGGCTATTATTTAAATAAAATATATTATGTACTATGTATTTATTTTATTTTATAACTCTTACAAATATTATGTCTGATAAAGTTTTCATTAAGTCTTATGAATATCTCTTAATTATATAGTTATCAATATGACGAAAAGGTCAAAGGCATCCTCAAGCGATACAAATCTTTCAGATAACACTTCTGTTTGTATTTGGTCAAATGCTATGGATGATGCCTTAATTGATGCATTCTATTATGAGCAGACACTTGGAAACAGGGTTGGAACTTTTACTGCACACACGATTGACAATATAGTGAAAAAGATGCAATCAAAATTTCCAGATAAAGTTTTTACCGAGGAGAGAGTTCACAACCGAATGAGAAATATTAAAACAAAATTTAGCAAGTGTTATGACACCTTTCAAAATGGGATGAGCGGGTTTGCATGAGATTCCAACACAAATATGTGGAATGATGAATCTGAAGTATGAGATCAATTAATACAGGTACATTTTTAGCAGTTTTGTTCTTTATTTGCATCTTATAATGTTTATTGTTATGAATTCTATTTAGAGTGAATGTCTATCTTGTAGAGAGTTTTACTTTGTGGCTAAGTCATTTTTTCCCTATAAATAGATGGGTCTTACCCCATTGTAAATTATCCCAAAATTCAATAAGAATTTTCTCTCTCTCTTTCTGTGCAATATTGTTCTTCTACTTTTATTGTTTTATAACACGTTATCAGCACGAGACTCTACCGTCTCAAGAAGATTAAGGTACAACTTTTCTCCTCTTTTAATTATGACTGATATTATAAAAAGAAAGTTCGTTGCCCTTGAAATTTTGGGTAAAAACTATATGACATGGGTGTTGGATGTTGAAATCCATTTAGATGCAATGGGTCTTGGAGACGCCATTAAAGACAAAACTAAATCATCCACCCAAGACTGTGCTAAGGCCTTGATTTTCTTACGCCATCACCTTGATGACGGGTTGAAAATAGAATATCTCACAGTCAAAGATCCACTTGTTTTGTGGAATGGCTTAAAGGAAAGATTTGACAACTTAAAGTTGGTCACTCTTCCACAAGCACGATATGATTGAGCTCATCTTAGGCTCCAAGACTTTAAGTCTGTTTCTGAATATAATTTTGCGATGTTCAGAATTACTTCTAAATTGAAACTCTGTGGAGATACTATCACAGATTATGATATGCTTGAAAAAACGTTTACAACGTTTCATGCCTCCAATATGGTTCTGCAACAGCAGTACAAAGAGAAAGGTTTCAAGAAGTACTCTGAGCTGATTTCTCTTCTCCTTGTGGCTGAGCGAAACAATGTCTTGCTCATGAGAAATCACGAAAATCAACCCACTGGGTCTACACCATTGCCTGAAGTGGATGGGGTGTATTCCCATTATGCTAAGCATGAAAAAGGCCGTGGCCCTATTCGTGGTCGTGGTCGTGGTCATGACCGTGGCCGTGGACAAGGAAGAAATTTTTCTGGTATTAATCACCCCCAAAGAAAAATAACCGCCAAAAGTGGAAAGGGAAATATGAGAAACCAAAAACAAATGGTTCAGAAACTGAATGCTATCGCTGTGGTGGAAAAGGGCATTGGGCAAATATTTGTCATGTACCAAGACATTTGGTTGAGCTTTATCAAGCATCTCTAAAGAACAAAGACCCTGAAGCTAATCCTGTCTATGACAATGAATTTGACATCACCCACTTGGATGTGACAGATTTTTTTGAGCACCCTGATGGAAAAATAGACCACTTGATCGATGATGGATCCGTGGTTAAAGAAGATTAAGTAGTTTAATTTTTATTTTTCCTATTCGTAGTAGCTAGTGAATAAACATCGTGTAATCATAGTTCTTTACATGAGTAATAGTTATTAGTATCAATTAGTATTACTTTATGAATTAATGTTAGTTCGTTTTGATTAAATATAATTCTAGTATTTGCATTAAACAATGTTTCAATTTGCTTAGTATTCAGGGATTAATATATTCTTTATTAAAATAATATTGTGATGTGAAAAGAAAATTTAGTTACTGGTTTTGAACAAAAGGGTACGAATCCATGTCTTTAAATTGACCATATTAGTATATAAATGTAATAATACACTGTTGCTATCTTGTTATTATCTTACACTGTTGTGGTAGGTAGTTTTTTTTCATACTTGAAACCATAAAAATAAGATAGTAGTATTTGTTATTATTTTAATATTACATTGTGATTACAACAAGAAGAATTGCAGTTAACACGTATTTTTAGAAATGTTTGTATATAACTACGTCTTCAAATGTTATTTTGTGTATGTGGATGTTATTTTCTTATATATCCATAAGTGTAGAGCACTTGATACAGGCTACAGTATATAGAGATATTTAATCGCAATACGATTTGTTTGTTTTTTTAAATTATTCGTTAGTATTATAAGTATACACTCTAAAAATACTAATATTTATTCATATATTTCTTTTGTATGTCAAACAATGGGAAAGAAATATGGATATCTATCAAAGTTCAATTGTAAAAATATTTGTTTAATTGATTCATGTACGACACATACAATATTCAAAGATAAGAAATATTTCTCTCATTTAAATATGTGTAAGGCAGATGTTACTACAATTTCTGGTAGTAGTAAATTAATTGAAGGCTTTGGAAGAGCTACTATAACTCTGCCTAAGGGAACAATACTTATCATAGAGAATGCAATGTTCTCCTTCAAGTCCAAGAGGAACTTGTTGAGTTTTAAAGATATCCGTCGAAATGGATATCATATTGAGACAATAGATGAGAATAATCTTGAATATCTCATCATTACCAAGAATGTCTCTGGCCAAAAGAGGGTTATTGAGAAGTTCCCATCTTTATCTTGTGGCCTATTGGACAAGAATTAGTGCAGTTAAGGCACATTCTACCGTAAACCAAAAGGTTACTGATTCCAATACTTTTGTACTTTGGAATGATCGATGGGGACACCCTGGATCAATTATGATGAGACGAATTATAGAAAACTCAAATAGGCATTCATTAAAGAATTTAAAGATTCTTTTAAATAATGAATTTTCTTGCACTTCTTGTTATCAAGGCAAGTTAATTATTAGACCATCACCAACAAAGGTTGGAATTGAGTCCCCTGCATTTTTGGAACGTATACAAGGGGACATTTGTGGACCTATTCACCCACCTAGTGGGTCATTTAGATATTTTATGGTCTTAATAGATAAATCTTCTAGATGGTCCCATGTGTGCCTATTGTCATCTCGTAACCTCACGTTTGCAAAATTAATGGCACAAATTATTCGATTACGGGCACAATTTCCCAATAATCCAATTAAGTCTATTAGACTTGATAATGCTGCTGAGTTTTCATCCTAAGCATTTAATGATTATTGCTTATCAATTGGGATAAAAGTGGAACATCCTGTAGCTCATGTTCACACTCAAAATGGTCTTGCAGAGTCTTTAATTAAACGTCTGCAATTGATAGCAAGACCGTTACTCATGAAAACGAGGATTCCCACTTCCGTTTGGGGTCATGCCATTTTGCATGCAGCAATGCTAGTTCGTCTCAAACCGACAAATTATCATAAATATTCCCCATTGCAACTAGTTTTGGGAATGGACCTAATATATCCCATTTAAGAATTTTTGGATGAGTAGTATATGTGCCTATAGCACCGCCATATCGCACCAAAATGGGTCCGCAAAGAAGATTAGGAATATATGTTGGGTTTGAATTGCCCTCCATCATTCCCTACATAGAAACATTGACGGGGGATTTGTTTATTGCACGATTTGTAGACTGTCGATTCGATGAGACACTTTTCCCAAAATTAGGGAGAGAAGTTGGTGAAACCAAACGGAAAATTTTGTGGAAAAATCCATCATTATCTCATCTTGATCCACGTGCCTCTATTTGTGAAAAAGAGGTGCAAAAGATTATCCATTTGCAAAGAATCGCAAATCAAATGCCAGACGCATTTACGGATTTGAAAAGGATAACAAAATCACATATCCCTGCAGAGAATGTTCCAATCCATATTGATGTACCTATTGGACAATCTTCTAGTGTCATAGCTAATGAGTCAAGAGCACGCCTAAAACATGGCAGACCGTTAGGTTCCAAAGATCGAAATCCTAGAAAAAGAAAACAAATGATCAAAATGACACTACGAAAGAACCTCATGAAGAAATCCACGATTTAATAAATTCTGAGATTCATGAGGAATCCACTGAGCCCGAGGCTCAAGAAAATAAGGAACTATCAATAAATCCAATCGATATTGAGACAAAGTTGAATCGAGTGGATATAGTGGTGGATTATGTCTTTGCATATAATGTTGCATCTAGCATTATGCAAGAAAGTGAGGATCTTGAACCTCAATCTGTTGGAGAATGTCGACAAAGACTTGATTGGCCAAAATGGCAAGAAGCAATCCAATTATAGTTGAATTCACTTGCAAAACGTGAAGTTTTTGGGCCTGTAGTCCAAACACCTAATGGTGTTAAGCCTGTTGGCTATAAATGGGTATTTGTACGCAAAAGAAATGAGAAAAACGAGGTACAAAGATATAAGGCATGCCTTGTTGCACAAGGATTTTCACAAAGGCCTGGTGTCGATTAAGAAGAGACATATTCACCCGTTATTGATGCTATAACTTTCCGTTATCTCATTAGTTTTGTTGTCCATGAAAAGCTTGACATGCATTTAATGGATGTGGTTACCACCTACCTTTATGGCTCACTTGATAATGAGATATATATGAAAATTCCCGATGGATTTAAAATGCCAAAAGCACATAATTCAAAGTCCCGGAAAATATTTTCAATCAAATTGCAAAGATCTTTGTATGGTCTAAAGCAATCAGGACGAATGTGGTATAATCGTCTTAGTGAGTATTTATTAAAGGAAGGGTATATAAATGATTCCATTTGCCCATGTATTTTTATAAAGAAAACAACATCAGAATTTGTTGTACTTGCCGTATATGTTGATGACATAAACCTTATTGGAACTCCTATAGAACTCCAAAAGGCAATTGATTATTTAAAGAAGGAATTCGAGATGAAAGATCTCGGAAAGACAAAATTATATCTTGGTTTGCAAATTGAACATTTGGCAAACGGAATTTTTGTTCATCAATCTGCCTACATAGAAAAGGTATTTGTGCTTTCGAGGCCTTGAAAACCTCATTTAGAGTCGCCTCGATTTGCGTACGTAGTCCGGGTGTGTAGTCGGAAAACTTAAATATGAAATTTTGTGAAGAATGCTAAGTTTTGATGCTAAAATGAATAAGTTTGACTTTGGTCAACATTTTGGGCAAACGGACTCGGACCCGTGATTCGACGGTCCCGGAGGGTCCGTAGAAAAATATGTGACTTGGGCATATGCCCGGAATTTACTTCCGAGGTACCTAGATCGAGAAAGAAATTTTTGATGAAAATTGTAAGACTGAAATTCTAAGGATATAAAGAAATTGATTAATGTTTGATCTCGTTGGTATCGGACCCGTATTTTGTTTCCGGAGCCCGGTACAGGTTTAATATAATATGTGAGATTGCATACTAATTAAATAGTTAGTAGGCATAATTTATAATTAGCTAGGCTAGGGAGCAATATAATAGCTTTGGAATAATAGGCACGAAAGATTTGGGCCAAGCCCATTTTACGTTGCTGCTAGGTTTGAAGTAGAGTAAATAAGTAAAATTGTTCTTTTAGTTCTAATAGATACGCAAATACCTAAAGAAGAGAGAAAAGGGCTTCAAGTAGTCGCCGACGCATGCGAGTAGGAAGAAAAGGCTGTAGAGGGTCTTTGGTGGAGTTGACCAGGTATATTGTTAAATTCATCCCATAACTATATTTTGGATTAAACTAAGGAGAAATAATTAAGTGAAGATACTTCAGTTATGCATGTAAAGAGTCAGCAATTTTTTTTTAAAATTTATTTTTATTTCTTGTTTTTCTTTCTTTGTTGATGTTTCATCTATCACGTTATGCCTTTAACAGACAATGTATAGTATTGTACCTTTCAATAGCAAATCAGGTATAAGTTTTATTTATTTTATTGGAGCTCCTTTTCTGATAAGAAAGTAATTATAATAAAAGAATAAGTTAATTCTCTGAATTCATTTACAACGATGACAAGAGTTGGAACAAAGTGATCTTGGTAATATTTTATACTTGTGAGTCTTTGGGAGTATAAATAGAATTTACTAATACTAAAAAGGGAAAAAGAAAAGAAAAGAAAAGAAAACCTTATTACTATGAAAAAGCTCTTTAAGATTGTATTTTGGAATTAACTGATTTGCACATGGAATTATGTTAGAAATCTTCCCTTATTGATAGATTAGTTACATTACATATTCATGTAAATAGACTTGAATGTTTTTTTAAGTCACATATAGCTAGGAGTTTATTAACAAAACGTAAGGTCCAGTATACTTAGGGACCTTTTTAAGTTAATGAGTTTTACATATATGAGTGATTAAAGGATTAGCTGAATAGATAGTGAGCCAATTATTGAATTTTGTATGAGAAGTATGAGGTAATTCCAACTAACATATTTGACATTGCTAATTAATATTTGCATAGATTGAGGTCGTTTGGTTGGTGTTCTAGACGTTGCAAGGTTGGAGAAACTCTCTGTTAGCGAGGTAAGTGTTTGGTCTAATCTTAGCTTGAGGGATTAGGAGTCGAGTCCTATTTGATATGTGATAATTGTTGAGTACGATGTATAGGCATGTTGACGAGTATCTATACACCGGAGTCTAGCATGACCGTGAGTCTTATTTGTGTTTATTCGGATTTTGTGATACCTCTTCCTTGTTAAATTGATAAATTTCATATAGTGTGAAGAGTTTGAGGAAGAATTATGATTTGTACATTCTTGGAGCATTGGCTCGAGTATATCGTAAAGCGTGAAAGTATATGAAATGATTGAACCCCTTTGGAGAGTTGGCTCAGGTGGTAAAGTGAGATAAGAGGTAAAAAGTGAAAGAAAGAGAAAGAATTATTGAATTTCTCCCTTGCCGTTATGCTTGTTGCTTTGTTGACTATCTCCCTTGTCGGGATGCTGAGATTATTGATATTGTTCCCTTGCCGGGTTTTAACTGCTTAATTGTGCTCCCTTGCCGGGAGTTAGCTGTTTATTTGTATTCCCTTACCGGGGTTTCTGTCATTATTTGTCTACTCCCCTGCCCCTTGTTTGTGATTGTTGCTTTTGTGAGGAAGAGTGATAAAGAACGAAGTGTGATGCCGTGCATTGTTTGCTATTGTGAGGAAAGAGTGTAAAGCACGAATGGTGATATCATGCCGCACGATGTACCATTCCGTGCCGTATTTATTGATTATATGGTGAGGAAAGAGAGTAAAAGTACGAAGGGTGATGCCGTTCATATTTCATTTATATGATTGCTTTGGTGAGGACGAGAGTAAAAGCACGAAGGGTGATGCCGTGCATTTGTTGCTTTCTGATTCTTTGTTGATATCCGAGTTATGTTGTTTCTTTCATTACTTGTTGTTATTTGATTTACTTCGAGGTTATAGATTCCCTTACCCTATTTACCTTGTGATTGTTGTTTGGGTGAGGAAGAACGTAAAGCACGAAGGGTGCTGCCGTGTATTGTTTTAGTGAGGATGAGAGTAAAAGCACGAAGGGTGATGCCGTACAAATTGTTGACTTTTGATACTTGTTGACATTCTGGCTTTGTTATTTCTTTCTGTTATTGAGAATTTCTATTTGAAACTGTTAGCTCCCCATAGCATGCTTTCCCCCCTCTTAGCTGTTTAAATTCTGTATATTTCCTTTTATTGCATATATCTGCACATGATGTTTTTGGTAGGTCCTGTCTAGCCTCGTCACTACTTCGCTGGGGTTAGGCCAGACACTTATCAGCACATGGGGTCGGTTGTGCTGATGCTACACTCTGTGCATCTTTTTGCACAGATCCAGGAGCAGCTTTTGGACCTCAGCAGTAGGATTTGATCGGGAGCTGACTTCAGTCCAGAGACACCAAGGTAGCCTTGCTGATGTCCGTAGGCTCGGAGTCTCTCTCTCTTTATTCAGTTTGTTATCTTTTGTACCGAAACAAATAGTTTATAATTTTCTTTCAGACGATTGTATTTAGTAAATCTTAGAAGTTCGTGAGCATTGTGACACCAATCTTGGGTAGAAAATTATGTTAAACTTTCCGCATTTCTATTTAGCTTTTATATAAGTTAAGACTTCCGCTTGAAATTTTTAATTATGTTGCCTTTATTACATGTTGATAATTATGGAAAGGAATATGTGTTGAACGGAAGGTAATTTAAGTTGGCTTGCCTAGCTCCTATTAGTAGGCGCCATCACAACCCCGAGGGTGGGAAATCTGGGTCGTGACAAGTTGGTATCAGAGCTCTAGGTTACATAGGTCTCACAACTCACGGACAAGCTCAGTAGAGTCTGAGGGATCGGTACGGAGACGTCTGTATTTATCCCGCAGAGGCTACCGAGTTAGGAAAACTTCACATTTGTTCTTTCTTGTCGTGTGGTTCTGTTTCCCCAATACTGATTGAATTTTACTCTGTTCTTTCACAGATGGCGAGAACACGCGCTTCCTCATCTACCAGTGGCGGAGCCTCGGGTTGATTTTGAGGAGGAGGTTCCGGCCCCAGCAGTTCCGATAGGCCCAGCTCAGGTCCCAGAGGGGTTTATCGCTACCCCAGTTCTTCAGGACGCTCTGGTCCGATTGGTGGGCCTCATGGAGAGTGTAACCCGAGCGGGTTTACTTCTAGTAGCACCAGCCACTTCTCATGCTGGAGGAGGGGCTCAGACTCCTACTACACGTACTCCGGAGCAGGTAGCTCCCCAGATCCAGACTCCAGCAGTTCAGCCAGTCGGAGTAGTTCAGCCGGGTGCCATAGCTTAGACCGGCGATGGAGCGGCTATGTCCGGCGATGCTTTGTGGAGACTGGATAGGTTCACCAAGCTCTTCACTTCTAATTTTAGCGGTTCATCTACTGAGGATCCCCAGGATTATCTGGATAGTTGTCACGAGGTTCTCAGGAACATGGGTATTGTTGAGACCAATGAGGTTGATTTTGCTACATTTCACTTGTCTGGATCCGCCAAGACTTGGTGGAGGGATTATTGTTTAGCGAGACCAGTCGGATCACCATCTTTGACTTGGGAGCAATTTACAGTGTTGTTTCTAGAGAAGTTTCTCCCCATTACTCAGAGAGAGGCCTATCGGAGGCAGTTTGAGCGCCTCCAACAGGGTTCCATGACTATTACCCAGTATGAGACCAGGTTCATCGATCTAGCTCGCCCTGCTCTTGTCATACTTCCCACCGAGAGAGAGAGAGAGGGTGAGGAGGTTTATTGATGGTCTTATTCAGCCGATTCGTCTTCAGATGGCCAAGGAGGCCGGGAGTGAGATCACCTTTCAGGAGGCGGCCAATGTGGCCCGTAGAGTTGAGATGGTTCTGTCACAGGGGGTGGTCATGGGTCAGACAAGAGACCCCGTCATTCAGGCAGATTCAGTGGCACCTCGTCTGGAGGTAGAGATTCATATGGTAGAGGTCATCCTCCTAGGCCCTTTCAGTAAGCTCTCTAGGTATCACATGGTACTTCAGGTGGTCATGGCTCTCAGACGCATTATTCGGATCAACAGCCCTATAGCGTACTACCAGCTCCCATCAGTGCACCGCCACTTCAGAGTTTCCGAGGTGGTCATTCAGGTCGACAGGGCCAGCAGTCTCAGCAGCCGAGGGCTTGTTACACTTGTGGTGATATGGGTCACATTGCCAGGTTTTGCCCTCGAGCACCGGGTAGCTCTCAGCATCAAGGTTCTCGTGCTATGATACAGGCACCAGGTGTTCCACAACCCGCCCAGCAAGTTAGAGGTGGGGGTAGAGGTGCTAGAGGTGGAGCTCAGGCCGCCAGGAGTGGAGGCCAGCCAGCAGCAGGCCGTCCCAGAGATGTGGTTCAGGGTAGTAGGGCCCAACCCCGATGTTATGCCCTTCCAGCTAGGCCCGAGGCTGAGTCTTCAGATGCAGTCATTACAGGTACTATTCTGGTTTGTGATAGAGATGCTTCAGTGTTATTTGTTCTAGGGTCTACATACTCGTATGTGTCATCTTATTTTGCACCGCATCTGGTCATGCCTAGTGATTCGTTGAGTATTCCTGTTTATGTGTCTACACTGGTAGGTGATTCTATTGTGGTAGATCGAGTCCATCGCTCTTGTGTAGTTGTGATTGAGGGTCTTGCGACTCGTGTGGATTTGTTGCTTCTAGACATGGTCGACTTCGATGTTATATTGGGGATAGACTGGTTATCACCTTACCACGCTATCTTGGACTGTTATGCCAAGACTGTGACTTTAGCCTTGCCGGATTTGCCCCGTTTAGAGTGGAGAGGGACTCTTGGTCATTCTGCCCACAGTGTTATTTCGTATGTGAAGGCTCGGCGTATGGTCGAGAGGGGTGTTTGGCCTACTTGGCTTATGTTCATGATTTCAGTGCTGAGATTCCCTCTATTTATTCTGTGCCCGTGGTTTGTGAGTTTCCTGAGGTTTTCCCATCAGAACTGCCGGGGATGCCACCCGATAGGGATATTGATTTTTACATCGATTTAGCTCCGGGCACTCAGCCCATTTCTATTCTGCCATATCGCATGGCCCCGCCAGAGTTGAAAGAGTTGAATGAGCAGTTGCAAGACTTGCTTGAGAAGGGTTTCATTAGACCCAGCGTATCGCCTTGGGGTGTGCCGGTTTTGTTTGTAAAGAAAAAGGATGATTCGATGAGAATGTGCATTGATTACCGGCAATTAAACAAGGTTACAATTAAGAATAAGTATCCACTGTCGAGGATTGATGATTTGTTCAATCAGCTTCAGGGTGCCAAGGTATTCTCAAAGATTGACTTGAGATCTGGCTACCATCAGTTGAGGATTAGGGCATCCGATGTCCCTAAGACAGCATTCCGCACTCGGTACGGGCATTATGAGTTCTTGGTTATGTCATTTGGGTTGACCAATGCCCCAGCATCCTTTATGGATTTGATGAACCGAGTGTTCAGGCCTTATTTGGACTCGTTCGTGATAGTCTTCATTGAT